TGTTTAACCCTTGAGGAAACCAGAGACTGAAATGAGGCTTGGTCTGAGATCCAAGACTTCCTAGGTTCAGCCCTGGACCACGGCCAAAAAAAGCCCTGCTGGACTGAGGGGCCAGGGACAATTTTAAAATCTGATATATCTACCTACTGGAGCTGGACATTAATGCTTTATACCACCGAGATGCTTAACGCTTTCTACAATTACAATTCTAACACCGGTAGACCCTAGAAATGAGATGCAAAAATCATGTTTTTTTGATTAGCATCTTCACACACCATCCCTCCATCCCTATCAATTTAAATGTGATTTTTAGCAACGAATGTATGGAAAAAAAAAACCCCAGAGATGTTCTGAGATGATGTATAATCTGACAGCTGGGTTTCCACGCTTTCAGGGGACTGTAAGCATCAGGTTTTGGTGGGTACCAGGTCCTAACATCCCACCAACAGCAAAGAAGGCAAAAGGCAGGACTGTAAGAAGATCAACAGTTTTATGCTTTGATCTGGCACGGAAATAAAATGCTCTGACAGAAAAAGCTACAAATAAATCCGAATTTGTACAACGTGCCAAGAACCGCTCCTGACTCAACAATCAGAAATACAATGCCAGTGCTTGAACACACATTATCAGGAACAAAAGACCACACAGCTTAATGCCTGGTAAAAATGACATTTGCTTCCAGATCATCTTTAAGGGAAAGGAGCTGAACCTGCACGAAGTGGGAGCAAAGTGCTATGAAGCAGAAGACAGAAAAAAATGAGGTAAAAATGGAGGAAAAAGTTTGGACCCCTAAAACTCACCCCCTCTTCCCAAAACATCTCAACTACTGGGAAGAAGCTCTCATGTCTTTCCCCTCATATCCTTTAGACGTACCCCAGCACAATTACAGGATAAGAGAAGAATGAGGGTCTAATGCAAATATAATAGACTATAACAGTATTATATGCACAAAAACCACGTTTTCTTCAGTCTTCTGAGACTAAAGTAGAGAGAAACAGGGACTCGACTATCTGTGACTTCAGAAAGTCAGAAAAAGAAGTCAGTTGACATAAAGTGGTTATTTTTTCTTTTAAAAAACATAATAATAATTATTACTATTTAAATTGAGGTAATAACAACAGGCAGCAAGCACAGGTAAAAAATCATCCCAGGAAGCTTAAAAATAAGATTACCATGGCAGATGTAGGGTTCACACTGTGCTTTTCTTTGTTTAAATTATGAAGAATGACACATGTTCCTAAAGCACCAGGATCCAGAGCTCTCAACATTATCACACAATGTAACAGTGATGATTATTAGCTGTGGAAAAGTATCCGGGCTTTCTCAACTGGCCTAGTTTCAGCACAGTCCTGTTTTGCTTCAAATGCAATCAACAAATTCTATGAAGTTGATGAATTATTGCAAAATGTATGTTCTTTTACATTAAAGCGTAAGAAATAAAGCATGACCATCATGTTTTGCAACTAATTTATTTTTTTCTCCTTTTTTAATCTGTCTTACAAGTTTACCATGACATTTTAGTGACAACAGCGCTAAAATAACTCGAAAAACAAAAAGGAGGCTAATTAAAAGTAGGCAGAGAGCGAACATCTTGATACATTGGCATAAAATTATCCCTTCAGTGTCCTTTGTAAAAATGCTGCTAAAAACCCAACATTTGCCATGGCAATACCGAGTCAGATTGTTTTATAATATATATAATTATATATGCAGATCCTCGCGGGGCAAGCATTTGGTTAGTGCATGTCACTGAAAGGAGGCACTCCAGATTTAAGGGAAGAAAACAATTTCTGCTTTCTTGGAACAAAACTGGTGTCACTGAGCCGAGCTTCCGACCGACACGAATTATAGATCTCGAAAAAGTGATTTGCCTTCCTCTCTTTCTGCCCAACAGCTTCAGGAATCGCCGAGGGAGCTGTTTCAGCCTTTGTTACTACGGAGTATGTATGAAGGAAACGGCTCCTTTCGGGCTGGATGGGACTTTTTGCTCTTATGGAGCCTTTGGCAACCATCGGTGTGACATCGCACAAGGTCGCACGCCCCCAACCCACCACCACCAGTTCTAGAGTAAGTGGAAATAAGAAGTTAGTTCCACACACAGAACCAGAGGAGTTTTTAGAAGGAGGTTAGCAACACCTACTGGTCATGGTGCATACTGAACACCAGCTTGTTTATTTAAAATGAATAAAAAAAGCACCTTTTCTTACTAAAGCATCGAGCTAAAACTACCTATGAAGTCAGTTTGTCACCAGAGAGAATACTTTTAATTAGATCAACTGATAAAATTAAAAGAGACTACCTCTCCCAATAAATCTTCATCTGCTCATACCCTGGATGATCACGGCTGTGTTATTGCTGAAATGTATCAGTGCTAATGATTTCTGAATCATATCAGTAAATAAATATTCATAACATGAGCTGAGCTCTAGGCTTCACTATAAAAAGGGACATAACACATCTTCCTGACAGTTCCTTGAAGTGACTGAAAGATAAACATTATACATCGTAGCATGCATGAAGCCTTCCTTCATTACTGACTAATTATCTTTATTGCCTGCTCAAAGCAACTCAAATGTGATGAACTGCACAATCTTAGCAGAAGCACTTCTTTTTTCTGCTCTATAAAGATCTTCAAACAGCTTCTCCAATTCCTCAGAATTTTTACGATGCGTTCCTTTAATCTGCAAAAGTTTTTCTTCCAAATTTTACTTGGAGTAAAACACAACCAAACACGTACAACAGAGTTTCTTGATCCACCTCACCCCTTCCAAAAAAAAAAACAAACAACAAACCACCAAAGCGTAGGGCGCAAAGCTACAAATAGCATTTTCAGAATTAATTCTGAAAATTAATTCACTTAATTCAAAATGAAAGCGTCCTCAACTATAAGTGTTTTAAATCAACTCTAACAAACCTGCACTCAGCAGTTGTATTTTCATGCTTGCTTTCAATTTCCATTAAAAAAAAAAAAGGTACACATTTTTTGAAGTTGTGTCTATAGGTCCTCTGATACTCTAGCCTCAGGCATTAGAAGTTTTCCTGGTTCTCATCCAACTTTGGAAATAATATCTTCTTGCTTCGGGTGTTAAAAGGACTCATACATTATTTATAAGGACTGCTAAAATCTACCTCCTGGATCTAACTTGCAAGAGAAAGAGTAGAAAAAGTTACATACGAAAAAAAAAAAAAGCACACACAACTGTCCCCATTTCAATTTTTAGCCTCTCTTTCTGTGTCACGTACCACCAGCCTGAGCCTGGAATACTGTTTACCTCCTGAGGAATCAGGCTAAAGCATTTCAAGAAAGAAGAAAGTAGCCAGAACAGGGTTGCTAAAATCCATGTTCACTTCTCCACATCCTCCTCCTCTATACTTTTCTCTTTTGAATGTTCCCTATATACATGATACTTACATTCTGGTTGTCTCCTCCTGGTTTAAGAGAGTTCATTGTTAAGATTTTTAAAAACAACCCTTTTTAAACTTCACAAGGGGGGGATTTTAGTACCTCGTTATCGATCCAAGAAAATATTTCTGCAGTTTCACCAAAACCCAGCAGTTTTACTTCCTGGCTTACATTAAGGCAAAAGGCATTCAAATGCTATCGATCTATAAAATAACTATGGATTCTATGCAATTAAAGCAAACAGAGAAGTCAGGTGTACAGAGCTTCAGAAATACTCTTCAGCATGAGTAATTCCTCACATTGTAACTGGAAATAGTGTATTTTTTTCTACCACTAAACCCATTGCACCTGACAATCTGTTACACTTCGGGTGCCTGTTCCTGACTGTAATTTCATTTAGTCCCACTGGAGCACACAGTAACTGCATCTCTCCAGCTGAACGTGATGGATGAAAAGCTGAACATACACTACAACAGCCTAGGAAATCACTGAAAAACTGCTTCATGCGATGCCTGCCGCAGCCCTGCAATGAATTAAGGTGAGGTCGTTTATCTTCATCTTTACACTGGGCAGAATTTTTATACTTATTTCAGTGTTCAGACTTTGAGACGTTAGTTCTTAAAAAAAAAGAATGATATGCATAATAGAGCATGATATCCACTCTGTCTCCATGGAAATTATAAAGTTCTTATAAGACACTATATTTATCTGTTCATTACACTCTTTGGAAAATAAAGTTCTTCTGTCTGGGATTTTTATAGCTGTTCCACAAGTGTACATAAGTTTATTCCCCCACCAAATACAGTCGTGATGTTCACTGTTAAAAGTTAAAACTAGGTCGTGTTTTTGAAAAGGTTTATCTTATTAGCAATCAAGTCTCATGCAGCTGAAAACCAGAAAAAGTATTTTGCTGTTGAAATTCCCCGGCGAACTGCGGCTTGGAGCATTTCTGTAGTTGGTTTCACCATTCCAGGGCTCCCCAAACCCTGCCTCTGCCTCGGACTTTTACACAAGAAAGGGAAGGAGAGCAGTGGGAAGAGTGATGAGGAAACCCTAATCAACATTAGCAATAAGAAGGAAAAGCAGGCACAGTGCCTTATTTTAAATCTGACTCGATTTTAACTGGAGGAGGGTTTGTTTTTTTGGGTTTTTTTTTTGCGTTAAATTTGTTCAAAAGCAGCTTTTTGTTCCCGGCTGTCAGGAGCTGGGAATTCTGTGCCAGCCTCGGCACCTTTCATTCTTTACCTTTGCCAAACGACGTAAGCTCTTGCAATATATATAAAGAGGGAGGTGAATAGATAAATGGTAATAAAAAGCATTCATTTCTGCTGTCGTCCGAAAACTTAACATTTAAACGCACTAGAAAAAAAAAAAGTGTATTAACACTGTGTATTTTGTCACCTGTTAATCTTGGAGGAAAGTGCAAGAGTGGGAAAGGAGCTTGTCACAGCACTGGTACCTGCTTTGAAACCACTTTTGTGTAACACCCAGAGGGGTCCTTTCCGTGCAACCCCTACGGGGCAGCACCACTCGAGGATGCGACCAAACACGCGGACACACAGGGACCAAAACTTAAAGCAAAGGATTAATTTCCCACCTTCTTGAGAGGAGACAATGGGTGGCATATAATCAGGGATGTACTCCTTCCTCTCTTCTGCATCTTTACTCCCCGGCTGGGGAAACTGCAGGACATTGTTCTTGCTGACAGGAAACGAAGGGATTTGATGGGCGAAGGTGACGGGTTCGATGTTGTGTATATAATCTTCCAGCTCGTGCAGGTTAACCCCCATGAGCTTGAAGGCATCACCTACATCATCCAAAATCGGATCTGTGCGGCCATCTGTAACAAAAAAAACCACAAAACACAAGAGAACAACATTTTTGCAAAAAAGCCAATTTAAAAAATAAAAAAAATCGACCTGCAGGTCTACACTTAAGAGATTACAACCCGCTTCGGCTCACCACCAGTATCACCAGTAAGGGAGATCACAGCCCCACAGTTTAAAAAAAAATAATAAAAAAAATCAACCTGCAGGTTTACACTTAAGAGATTATAACCCTCTTCGGCTCACCACCAATATCACCAGTAAGGGAGATCACAGCCCCACAGTTCTGCCAGGTTTAATGTTCTTTTCACACGATGTTTCAGGCTAAAAACACACTGTCATGTAAAAGTGTTTTGTACCACTTAGTTTCAATTCATACTGGATAAAAACGGCACCTCAAGAAGCAAACCGTGCAAAACCGAGGGAGCAGCAACAGGCAGCTTTACCTGGCAACAGCCAATTAACACCAGCACTTAAAATAGTTTTAAATTTCAAAATGTACATTCAGATGAAGGAAACAAGCCCAAGAAAGCGCTCCTTTACCAGTATGTAACAGACTACGTGTTATTTTTCCAATTTAGAAAATGAACAATTTCATTTTGTTGAACCAGTTGTAGTTTATGGGTAGAAAAAAAAAAAAGAAAAAGAAAAAAAAAGAAAAAGAAAAAAAAAGAAAAAGAAAAAAAAAGAAAAAGAAAAAGAAGGTATCTCATGTATCTCTTGATAACAAAAATATTTCACATAGTATCTTTCCACCAGATGAAATCTACAGGCTTCAAAAACTATGAGTCACTTTTACCTACCGGTTAGATATACCTCCCGGATGAAATAGAGAATATTAAGTAGTGGTTTGATAAGGAGAGAATATTTTATACTAAACTTCAGGGGTTGATTTACTTCAGGTGCAATTTAAGTTTGACTCTACAACAAAAATCTTTACCAAAAGCACAGTGAAACCTCACTGGCTGAGCAATCAGGGTCTAAATTTAATAGGACCTCCAAGAAAACAGTCCAGGAATGGATGCAGTTTGTTCTACACGTGTAATTTGGCTCAAATATTTGAACTATCTTTGAAAATAGTTCAAAATCCTCTAAGTGCCTCAGTTTCCCTGACCTGACAGAGGGAAATCCCTCTGATGGCCTCCGGAGGGAGAACTGGGCACCGGCTTTGGTGGCCAAGGCACCACTTTGAGACTCATCATAACTTTTCATAATAACAATAACGTGACAAAAGATGCCCTTAAACCCTAACAATGATTTTTGCTTTGAATTCAATAAAAATTACACTGAATTATTAAAATTCCGCATAGTTGGCTTATGAAGATATTACACCCTTACACGATGATAAGCTGTGATTTACTTTATAAAAAAAAACAATTATGGAAAAGCAGCCCGTGCTTATTGAAGGAACACAATCGCTACTGTGAAGCCTCAGCTTCGGCAACCGGGGGGGGGATGCTCTTTTGTTTGTCCTTTAACCTAATCTCTTCTGGGTTTATCTGGAAGCCGGAGCAGTCGGAGGGGGCTGGTTCTCACATCACTGCATGAATCCCAAACCCCTGGGCCAACTCCCGCCCGCAGGTACATTTAGAAAATAAGAATTTGTTGTTCTAGAATTTCCCTTCTCAGTGAAGATAAGGGTAATACTCAGATTATGGTTTTGATTCTCGGCTCCGTAACACTGGCCTCTTGTGTGACTCTGGGCAAGTCGCTTGTGTTTTAATTCTCTCCACGGCTAAAAAGGGAGATCAGACCAAGTTATCACTTCTTTTGTCCGTCTCTGTTTAGAACATGAACTCCCCCCCCCGACACCAACCATCTTGGATTTTGTGTTTGAATAATATCTAGTACAAGTGAAATACTCATTTCCCCCGCAGACTCGAAGGACAGAGAAATGCGGAGACTTACAAAAACATAATTAAAAGAGGATACTACCACTCTGGAGTAGTTATGACATCCCTATAGTTACTGGGGAGACAGAAGGGTGTTTTACCCTTAAAAAATTAAATTTAGATAATTGACGCAGCTAAGAAATTTTGCGTTGACATTTTTAGTTGCTCTACAAAGGCACCTTTGAATTTACTGAACCATTTTCTACGGTGTCAAGATTTAACAGGCACAAGTTAGACAGCCCATTACAATGAAAAACTTGGGGGAAACTGTTCAAACTTCTCAAAACTTTTCAACGAGCCCAGAAGTAGAGCATATTTATTCCCCGGATGCTCCTGAAATCACTGCCTGTGCTGTTTGGAGGACCGGGGGGATTCATGGTGAGCTTCACAGTGCTCATTCCCATTCTCAGATCTGGAAAGCACTACCCACTGGCAGGGACACACACCACGCTTGGGTCTGGTTTCCCTGGAAAGAAAAACCAAGTGCCCAGGCAGGGAAAACGTTGCAATAGGTTTCCCAGCTGGACAACGTGGGGCACAGGACTGTGATATGCCCCATACCACCTACCCAGTTACTGGGGTTTGAGCACCTTGCTCACCTTGCGCCTCTTTGCATCTGCACCAGCATCTACTCTGGGCAAAAGTCTAGTCCAGTTCATCCCTGCAATAGGAAAAGGTCTTTTCCTAGATCTGGGAGTTTCCTAGGAAGGGGCTTTGAGCAACCTGGTCTAGTGGGAGGTGACCCTGACCGTGGCAGGGGGGCTGGAACTAGATGGTATTTAAGGTCCTTCTTCACCCCAAACCCTTCTATGATTCTACAGTTGGACTAGATGATCTCAAAGGTCCCTTCCAACCTAGACAATTCTATGACTCTATGATCTGCACGGGATCTTTTTAACTTCCAAAAAAGTGTACTGACATGATTAGCAAGTTAGAAATGCCAAAAAGGACTTCTTCCTACAAGTGCTTATTAAGAACATGTGGTGAGACGCAACTAAGTGTAATTGAAACATGGAAATATTTAAGCAATCATATCAAAAAAACATTATGTGTGTTAGAAAGTAGGTTAAAAAAAAAAAAAAACTGGAAAAGAATCAATTTTCCCATATCTTTGACATTTGCCTCCAAAGAGACAATGCCAAGTCATAAGGTTGATTAAAAGCTAAAAGAGTTCTTAACACTGCAAGTGTCACAGGGACAAAGAGACTCATCAGAAAGTGTCCTCAGCTGGAAAAGTGTACAAAGAAAAGTTTCAGGCCTGTTTCCTATCTGTGTTTAAATCAAAAGATGTATCAATTGGAAATATACCCAGCACAAAAGTGCATTAAATGTAATTTCAGGTGATCTATCCAATAAAAACTTGTGCCTTTATACTTGTATTTGAACAGTTTAGCATTTCTTTTCTCTCCCTCCTTCAATAAAAATTCACTAAAATAGCAGAAGCCAGACACATGAAAGAGAATGCTGACAAACATGTAACATACTCTCCTGGTCTTTCATTTAGTTTTAGGCTTTTTTCTGTAAGCAAACGATGCCAAAAAAAAAAAAAAAGAAAAAGAAGAGTTTAATTTGTACATACTGAACCTGTCTCCATATTCTCCAGATAATTGTGAATTAAAAATTCAGATGCAGTGAAATAATTAATGCAATGTCACACAGCAAGTCAACTCCAGGTCATAAACAGCTTTGGTTTCCAGCCCTCTGCCCTGCTGATAATCCCAGCTGTCCACAAGGAAAACCAAACCAAATGGAATGGGGACGATGCACTAACTACCTTTCAAGCAATAAAAGCTCACTTTCAGTTGGTGGGGAAAATGAATTTTTTAGAAGCCACTAAAGCCTCGTTATCTTTGCAAAAGTCACAAGAATTCCCCCAGCAATCAAGCTAACCAATGCTTGTGTCATCCAAAGAAACTGGGAGGGGATGGGTGAGGGTTAGGGAAAAACTATCTTGCTTTCCCTAAATTCTCAAATTCTTGAAGTCTCAAATTCTCGAATTCTTAAAGTCTCAGGAACAGCTGATTCACTTTTGTCAAACCCACCCCCAGCACCTCCTCCTTCCTGGCTCAAAGGTCACATGAATCGGTGACAATTTAACAAACGTATAGAACAGAGAGCTTCTAGTTTCACACCTGGTTTTTCAAAGGGAGCTGTAATTGGGAAACTAATAATAACTAATAATAAATATATTGAGAAAAATTAATGAGCCACTACCCATGCAACATGTACAGTCTATTATAGAATCATAGAATCGTAGAATTGCCCAGGCCAGAAGGGACCTCCAAAGGCCATCTAGTCCGACCCCCCCGCAGTCAGCAGGGACACCCCCAACTAGACCAGGTTGCCCAGGGCCTCGTCGAGCCTCACCTTGAATATCTCCAGGGAAGGGGCCTCAACCACCTCCCTGGGCAACCTGTTCCAGTGCTCCACCACCCTCACAGTGAAGAACCCTCTCCTAATCTCCAGTCTAAATCTGTCAGGTCCATGTCCTTCTTATATTGAGGGCTCCAGACCTGCACACAATACTCCAGGTGAGGTCTCACCAGAGCAGAGTAAAGTGGAAGAATTACCTCTCTGGACCTGCTGGCAACGCATCGCTTGATGCAGCCCAGGATGCGATTGGCCTTCTGGGCTGCAACTGCACACTGCCTGCTCATGTCCAGCTTCTCGTCCACCAGCACCCCCAAGTCCCTTTCCTCAGGGCTGCTTTCTAATACCTCACCCCCAGGCCTGTACTGATGGTGAGGATTGTTCCGGCCCAGGTGCAGAACCTTGCATTTGCTCTTGTTGAACCTCATGAGGTTCACCTGGGCCCACCTCTCCAGCCTGTCCAGGTCCTTTTGGATGACATCCCATCCCTCTGGTGTATCGACAACACCACACAGCTTGGTGTCGTCCGCAAACTTGCTGATGGTGCCTTTAATCCCCCTGTCTATATCATTGATAAAAATGTTAAACAGTATTGGCCCCAGCACGGACCCTTGAGCTATTATAAATAGCTCAGCGTTGACCCTCATGTCTGCTATAAAATAGATTATTTTTTTTAGCTTTATTTTAACCAGCAAATTATTAGGTGTAGCTCCTCCGTATTTTTATTACAAGCTCTATTCCAGATTCCTTGT